CCTCAGCCTCCCAAAGGTGCGGGATTACAGGCTGAGCCACCGAGCCCGGCTACAATAAATTTTTAAAAATGAGCCGGGCATGGTGGCTCTTGCCTGTAGTTCCACCTACTTGGAAGGCTGAGGCAGAAGGATTGTCTGAGCCCAGCAGGTCGAGGCCGCAGCGGCTGTGAGGATGCCACTGCACTCCAGCCTGGGCGACAGAATGAGACTCAGATTCCAACTCAAAAAAAAAAAAAGAAGTGTGATTACTGCCCTCCAGGAACTCATAGTCTAGAAAGACATATTAACAATCAGAAAATTATTATTATTATTATTTGAGTCAGAGTCTTATTCTATTGCTCAGGCTGGAGTGCAGGGGCATGCTCACGGTCACCGAAGCCTCAACCTGCTGGGCTCAGACAATCCTTTCACTTCAGCCTTCCAAGTAGCTGTAACTATGAACCTGCACCACCACACCCAGCTATTTTTGATTTATTGTAGAGACGAGGTCTCACCTGTTGCCCGGGCTGGTCTCGAACCCGTGGGCTCAGGCAATCCTTTTGCCTTGGCCTCCCAAAATGCTGGGATTACAGGCATGAGCCACTGCTCCCAGCAGCAAAGAGTTTTTATATAGGAGCCTGCTGACATTGTGGAAGATGGATGACTGAGGTTCAGAGAGATCAGCTACAAGTCCTAAGCAATAACCTAAGAGAGTACTGAAACAGAGGAAACAAAAGAGAAAAAAATGTGATATATGTTGCATAAGTAATATTGACAGGCTTGGCAATCAAACGGATGTTGGAAGACGAAAGAGAAAATAAAAGATGATTCTGAGGTTTCAAGTATGAGTGACCGAATAGGTAATATTATTAAGGAAGATGTGCAACCAAATAATTATCTTCTTTTCTAACATGTTGAGTTTACCTGTAGGACATCCAGATGAAAATGTCCTGCAGGATTCCAGGTCAAGAGAAACCTTAAGGCTCAAAATTTGGGAGCCATCAATGTTTTTCTTTTTGAGTTGGGGTCTCACTCTGTCACCCAGACTGGACGGCAGTGGCACACTCGCGGTCACCGCGGCCTCGACCTGCTGGGCTCCTGCGATCCTTCTGCCTCAGCCTTCCAAGTAGCTGGAACTACAGACACGTGCTACCATGCCTGACTAATTTTTGATTTATTGTAGACGAGGTCTCGCCAAGTTGCCCAGGTGGGTCTCAAAACCGTGGGCTTAGACAATCCTCTTGCCTTGGCCTCCCAAAGTGCTGGGATTACAGGCTGAGCCACTGAGCCCAGCCCATCAACATGTATTTAATAGAGTGGATGAAACTTGTCTAAAGGGTAGAAAGGTAAAGAAAGGAAAGCAGCCAGGCGCGATGGCTCAAGCCTATAATCCCAGCACTTTGGAAAGCTAAAGTGAGAGAACTGCCTGAGCCCAGGGATTCGAGACCAGCCTGGGCAACTAGGTGAGATGTCATCTCTACAATATATCAAAAAGTTAGCCATGCTAGCGCATGCCTGTAGTTCCAGCTATTTGGAAGGCTGAAGGGGAGGGATTGCCTGAGCCCAGCAGGCAGAGGTTGCGGTGGCCAGGAGCATGTCACTGCACTCCAGCCTGGGCAACTGAGTGAGACTATGACTTAAAAAAAAGTAAGAAGCCGGGCTCGGTGGCTCAGCCTGTAATCCCGTGCCTTTGGGAGGCTGAGGTGAGTGGATTGCCTGAGCCCGCGGGTTCAAGACCCGCCTGGGCGGCAAGACCTCATCTCTACAATAAATCAAAAAATCAGCCGGGCGTGGTAGTGCATGCCTGTAATTCCGGCTACTTGTAAGGCTGAGGCGGAAGGATCACCGGAGCCCAGCAGGTCGAGGCTGCCGTGACCGGGAGCGGCCACTGCACTCCAGTCTGGGCGACAGAGTGAGACTCCAACTCAAAAAAAAAAAAGTAAGAAAGGACACAAGACAGGGAACACCAGCCCTTAAAGGACAGAGGAAGCCGGGCTCCAGTGGCTCAGCCTGTAATCCCGCGCCTTTGGGAGGCTGAGGTGAGTGGATTGCCTGAGCCCGCGGGTTCGAGACCCGCCTGGGTAGCGAGACCTCATCTCTACAATAAATCAAAAAATCAGCCGGGTGTGGTAGCGCATGCCTGTAATTCCGGCTACTTGGAAGGCTGAGGCGGAAGGATCACTGGAGCCCAGCAGGTTGAGGCTGCGGTGGCCGGGAGCGGCCACTGCACTCCAGTCTGGGCGACAGAGTGAGACTCCAACTCACCAAAAAAAAAAATAAAAAAAAAAATAAATAAATAAAAAAGGACAGAGGAATAAATGGCTATGAAGAAAACTAAGGCTGGGCACAGTAGCTCACACCTATAATTCCAGCACTTGGGAGGCTGAGGTGAGAGGATTGCTTGAGCCCATGAGTTCGAGACCAGCCTGGACAACTTGGTGAGACTTCATCTCTACAATAAATCAAAAAATTAGCTGG